CACGCGCACGCACGCACACACGCACGCACACGCGCACGCGCGCACGCGCGCACACGCACGCACCTTTTGCGTCGGCGAATGGGTAGAGGTTATTGCTCTGGCGATCTGGTCTCAGCGGGGCGCGCTAGATGCGAATTGGACCGCGGAGCGCGGGGGAACAGCATGAAACCCGGCGCAGTCGGGAAAAGACGCAGCCCGGCCCGCTCAGACACGCGCGCGCACGCGCGCACGCGCGCACCCGCGCACGCGAACATGCACGAACACAGACACAGACACAGACACAGACACGCACGCATACACACACACACGCACGCGCACACACACGCAAACACAAACGCATATGCCCGCACGCACGCAAACACGCGCACGCACGCACGCACCTATACACGCGCACACACGCACGCAACACGCACGCGCACGCGCGCACGCGCGCGCACGCGCGCGCAAGCACGCACAAACACACGCAACACGCACAAAACCGCACGCACCAACCAAACAAATACATAAACGTACACGCACGCACGCACACACGCTCCCACGCGCGCTCGCCGTCGCTCCTCGAGACATATGAGAGGGATGAGCGAGAAAGACAGCCAGTCAGCATATACCCACCCCCCGTGGAATGGCGCCCGCACAGTCACGCGCAGAGGGGTGGGAGAAGAGGATAATTAAGAGGACAACTGCGGGTGCCCCCGCCGGCCTGGCCTGAGACGCCCCCCACGCCACCCTCACGACGCGCGGGGGGCGGAAGCGAACAGAAGATGAAAATGCCTGGCCGGGCAAGAGGATTGGGAACCTGACTTGTGTGCGCGACGTCAGAATAGCATGGGTATAGACTGGATCACCCACTGCGTAGCGAGTCGTACCTCACGGCGCGCTCCTGGCGGGGGCGACCGAGAAGGGTGGCGGGATTGTGAGAGCGCGCGCGAGCATGAGCACGTCGACGCGCGCCTCTCGACGGGCACCTGTGGTGGGGCAGGACGCAGGAAGAGAGCGGGGGAGAGGGGGGGGGGGAAGAACGCGCTGACGCGCGCCTGCGGGGGGGCAGAGCGCCGCCCATTTGACCCGAGGGGCGCGAGCTCGGGCCGAGGGGCGACACAACGTGAAACGATGTGAGCTCAACCGCTCGGCTCCTCGAGGCTCAACTGCTCTGAGGGGCGGGGGCGCCGACAATGCCGCTGGCCCCCCCCCCGACGCGAGACCGCGCGGGAGAAGGCAAGAAGAGGGGGGGGGAAATAGAGGAAGTGTCGCCCCCGCCCAAAGTTGGCTGCTCTTCGCGATAAGGGGCGCGCCGGCCCCGCCCAAAATGGGCTGCTCGTCGACGAGGACTGGGCTCTGGCCACCTCGAGCGTGTCTTTTAATGCTCCGCGGTGGGAGGTGCAAGTTTGCGGTGCCGCGGCCCCCCCCGCAGAGGTTCCTCATCTGCGACGAGGAGGAAGGGCGAGAGAGAAAGGGGGCGGGCCCGACGCTGGAGAGACGCGGGGAGGTGCGCTCCCGCGACCCCCAGAGGCAGCGGGGCCGGGAAAGAGGAGGGGAAGGGAGAAAGGGGGAAAGACCCCCCTAAGGGGCATCCGCGCCTGTGCGTTGCAAGGGAAGAAAAGCGATCTGCGCGGAGGGAGCTGCAGCGGGGCCCGCCGCGAGATCAACCCGCAGTTGTGGACGCCGCGAGCTCTGCGAGGAAGAGTGACCTGAATGTGGCCGCGACAACCGTGGACCGCAGAACAAATCAGAAAGTCACGGGTCCGCCGTGGGCATCTATAGGCCCCCGCCATCGACGTCTCGGAATCGCCCGCGCTCGCAGGATTGACTTGGCCCCTGCTTGCCTGGTGCGATGTGCAACGTGCGACTTGCGCGCGGGCCAGACGGGCAAGGGCGCGCTCGGCCCGTGCCTGGGAGAGGTGACGTGTAGCAAATGCCTGGGCGCCGGGCGCCCCCGCCAGCTTGGGGCTCCTCTTCTCGACTAGGGGAACGACATGCTAGTCCTGCGTGAGGCCCGCAGCCGTCCACGCCTCGGCCATCGGGCTTCGAGGGGGGCGAAATCGCAAGGCGAAGTCGGGGTCGCCAGCCTGCAAGTCTGGGCCCGTGCATCATGCAACTCTGGCAGGGCATTGGCATTCCGCAAGCGATCACGGATATTCTTTCCGCGACCAGTGCGCGCGCGCTCAGATGCATCAACTCATTCGGCGAAGGCCGTTCGGTGCGACGCAGCTTCCAGCAATCGCTCGCGCATGGCTGCGTTCGCGGTGGCAGCATGCGCGCGCAAAAGGGCGGAGAGAAAGAAGACAGGACACATGGATGGCGGGAGAGAAGCAATGGATGGATGGAGATAGCAAAGGATAACAGAAAGCGAGAAGGGGAGGGCGTCGACGTGCACGTGCGGGGAGGCGGGAAACGAAACCTCCCCACCGACGAGAAAGCGACGTGAACTAATTAGAGAAAGAACCTGGATAATGGGGGACATGTCGAGATACAGTTCAGGCTCGAATTCAATTGATATCAAGACAGCGTACAACGTATCACGTGATCCACACCAGGCCTCTAACATGTACGATGATCATCAAACGATGTGTCGAATATGTGTTGCCTGCATCAAAAGAGGAGTCATGGGGATGATGCTTTGCATAGGTCGCACTCTAACGCCTTCTCATGAAAGTAAGCTATACGGTATCACATTCGATAAGCTTGCTTGGATACACTATACTGATAACGGACCGTCCCATCATCTGCAGCTATGTTGCCGTCCTTCGATTGGCGCTGCGGAGCTTAAAATGGGCAGAGAGATCCGTCGCACCACCTGAAGCAATTGCGCCGTCGTTCGCGTGGCGCAGTGAAAGCACAAGTCAGAATGAACAAAACGTAACGATGGTCACAAGGCCCCCATGGCAAAGCATGAACGGCTGATTCCCTGTGAGAAGGATGAGCGAACAAGACAGCCAGTCAGCAGATGCCCGCCCCCTGTGGAATGGCGCCAACACAAGGCACTCGGCCGCAGGACACTCCACAGAGACGCGCGCGCCTTGAGGGTCACGCGCAGAGGGGTGAGAAGAGGACAAGTGCGGGTGCCCCCACCGGCCTGGCCCGAGACATCTTCCACAAGACACGGGGCACATGCCGATTGCCTGCATCCGACGTCCAGGGCGGCTTTCACTCCAGGAGAGCTGGCCAACGATTTTGTGTTCCTTGGCTCTCCCGCCCCGCCGTACTCTTACGACAAACGACCACCGACGCCCACGCGTGCAGTAGTTGCGTTTATCCTGTCGAGCTGACATAGTCGGAGGAGGGCGACGAGGAAAAGGGACTAGATGCGGGAGAGGAGGGGAAAGGAAAAATAAGACGAGGAGGAGGACGACGACGAAGAGGGAAATAATGAGCACGATAATCAGGACGATTATGAGGAGTGAGGAGGAAACATGAAAAATATGGAAATGACAACGATGAGGATGCGGCTGACGATGTTCCGGATGGTGATGGCGATGAATGGCGATGCTGACGAGAATGGGGAGGGCGAGGAGGCGATGAGGAGTCGCGAGCCCAGAGGGCGACGCGCCGAGTTCGCTTCGGGGCGGACAGGGGCATTTGGAAAAGGAGAGCGAGCGCAATCGAACACATGACGACAATGGGCCTCAGGGCACTGTTGGCCCGGCCGAAGCATCACGGCAGTGACAAAAGGGCCCCCGGGGAAAGCCCAGAATCGGCCGCGCCGAGGTCCCAGGATACGGAACGAGTTTCGAGGAAACTTGACAGGTAAGGATTATATGGGAAGCAGGCCTAGCCAGTGAACAACATCGTCAGTGACCAGGGGCCTGCGAGGGAGGGGGGCGGGGGGAGGGGCCTTTCCACCCTTAGGATGGACGCCCTTCATAAAGTCATCCCGCCTCCACTTTTTTGGGGGATTCCCTTCAAGGGCAGCCTCGGTATCGCAAGTCCAGGAGAGAGGTTTGCGCGCCGTTCTGGCCGAGAAAGGCCCACATGTTCTACAGCCCACAAAGTCCCTAGACGCGTGCAGAACATGCCCTCGGGCCGCGCTTGGCGGGGCCTCCCCCGACCTCGGCAGAAGCCCCGGGGGAAGGTCCGCGTCCGCAAGCGGCGGCGGGGTGCCTCTAGCAGCTCGCTCCGCGCCCCTCGAGGCCGCCTCGGCAGGAGCGCGCGTCGCGGCCTCCTGGAGACCGGCAGCGCCGCTCGAGGCCCCCGAAAAACGCACCCTTTTGCGAGGCACGAAGCGCGGTTGACCACTCGCATCCCTCACGGGAGGAGGAGGGGGAGGAGGAGGAGGAGGGGGAGGAGGAGGAGGAGGGGGAAGAGGAGGAGGAGGAGGAGGAGGAGGAGGAGGAGGAGGAGGAGGAGGAGGAGGGGGAGGAGGAGGAACGCAGAGGAGGCCGACGCCACGAGAAGCCGCGGGGCAGGGCGGGGGTTCGGCCAGACGACTCGGCACCACAGCCTCGGGACGAGAGATCGCCAGAGTGGGGGAGTCGCTCGACGGGCTCGCGGCCGATGGGGGGGGGAGGTGACCCGAGGCTTGACCCTGTGAGACCTATCCTCCTGCTCATGCATCTCCTGCCCGTCGTCGTCCTCCAGACGACGACTCGACCGCCTTCCCGCTCCCTGCATTTCGTCATCGTCAGCCCTGGGAGCCGCCAGAGGCTCGGTCCTGGGTCGCGCACCGGGCCCCTCGGGGGCCGCCGCCTCCAGGCCGCGGAACCTGGTGGCCCGATTGGTCCCCGGGTCCTCCTCCTTGGGGCGCTTCCTCGACCCCGGGGCCTCGGGCCCCCCGGGGCCGCGGGCCAGGTCGGATCGCGTCTGGCAGCTGCCTCTCTTGAGGCGCTCCAGACCCGCCAGGGAACGGGCAGACCGCGGGCAGCGCAGCGCCAGCCTCGCTGGCACTGAACAGGCACGTGTTTCCTCAAACTCGCGGGGGGCTGGCCGTGCATCATCGCCTGGATCATCGCGTAGATTTCCTACCTCTGTGCTGTCTGTTGAGGACCTGGTAATGGGCCGCGCGCCATGCCCTGCAGCGCCTTGCCCTTCGTCGCCGCGATGCCCCGGCCAGCGCGGTTCGCCCCAGGCCAATGCAGCGGGCGCTTGGTCGAGCCACCTGCGAAGATCTCCGCCGTGATCGTCGTGTCCCTGCCGCCCGCGCAGTAATGCCCGGACTGCGTGTCCACCAGTGGCGGCAGCGCAGGGGGCGCCGCTCGCGGCATAAGACCTCTCGTGTGGAAGAGGTCGTTGGGAGGCGCCTGCAATGCTCGTCTCCTGATGCCTGCATCCACGGTCTCCATGCGCATGTCCGTCAGGATTGGGCATGACCAGAGCCTATGATGAAGGTGCCCGCAGCAGTCATGACAAAAGACGCAGTTGGGGTCATCTACGTACCCGACCGAGTAGAGCCTCTGCTGCGTCCACTGGGCCCCGATGGAAGTCGATCGTGCTGCCCCTCTCGCTCGCGTGCTCAGGTTCCACTTGGATGCCTTTGGGTTGGCCTGGAGCTTGGCCGCAATCGGCTTGATCCAGTGGCCCCGTGGGTCCTGATGAGGAGGTGGTAGCTCAGGTGCATGTTCTCTTCTGTTGGACCATTCCTCCCATATCATATTGCGATGGCTGCGCCTTGCCACGACGCGTATCCAACTCGGCGACAGGTCAAGCCGGTCAATCATTATGCCATTGCCCGTAATCCAGCGCGTCGCCGAGTGGGCCCTCTAACCGAGACGTTGAAGGAGTAGCTGCACCGCTCCCGCAGGGCCTGCGACTTGACCCCATGGGGTAGAGCTGGTCAGAGTCCTGGCCTGCATGTCCCAAGCCTTCTCAAGGAGGTGGAGTGACACCTGCCGCCCGTGCGCCATCTGCGCCCACGTGTAGATCGGCCCCGTCGCGGCCATGCTCTCGGGCATCTGGTGCGGGGCCTCCTCCAGCAGCGATGCCAACCACTTCGACGATGCCGATGGGGTCTTGGGACATCCAGTTCGAACCACGCTCGTCGGCATGGTCAGCACTGACGGCGGGGCTCTGGCCACGTGGATCCCGCGCGCCATGCCTGGTGCCAAGGCAGGGCGCGCGACTCGTCGTGCGATCCGCGCCAGTCCTCAGAGCTTCCGAAGCCTGGGGGGGGGGGGGGGAGGGCGCTCCTTGACCTCGCGCGCCCTCCTGTGGATCGCCGAGTAGGTGAGTCGAGCGCCCGCGCGGCGTTCCAGTCCCAAGACAGTGATCTGCCGCGCCGTCTCGAAGCCGAATGCGTGGAGTCGTCGCGCCACTTGCTCAGCCAGCCACAACGAAGAGCCCATGATCTTGGCCTTGTCCCTGGCAGTCGGGAGCTCCAACGCCTCCGAGACCGTGACCGGCCTCGCGATGACAGATGACGCCAGCCCTGCCATCTCGGCCGAGTGGGACAGGATCTGCATAGTGATGTCATCCACATAGATGTCCAGAGTGACGTTGAGGCCATGCAGCGAGGCGCTGAACACGTCGAATGACATCATCACGGTCAGCTGTAGAAGGTGCATCGCGATCGTGCAGCCAGGCAGCGCCCCCGCGATGGCGCGTAGGAGTAGGTCGCCCCCCAACGAATCCCCCTGGGTGCCATGTGCATGGGTAGCACCACCTTGAGGATGTCCGTCGGGAAGCTGTAGCGTTGACCCGCGCGTATGATCTTGATCCACATGACCCTGCCGAAGCACTTGCTGATGTCGACCAGCGTCGTCATGATAGCGTCGCCGTCGGTGGTGTCCGTCGCATCGGCGCATGCCATGGTGCGAGCCCCCGCGTCAATAATCGACCCCCCCAGCTCCCGGGGCAAACTGTGGCCTCTCATGGGCCACCATCCATCGTTTAATGTGGCCTATGCGCACCTTGGTATAGATCCTGTAGATGGGGGGGAGTGCCATTGGGCGAAACCCGCCCTGCGCATTCGCGAGGAGCACCACGTGCACGGCCATGATTGGGGATGGCCACCTCCCCCAAGCCTCCGAAGCCAACAGGGCATAAAGCATCATGGCTAGCGCCTCGTCGGGCAGGATGGAGTAGGCGCGAGGGGGGCATGGCATCCGCGCCCAGTCCCATCTTCCATGCAAACGTCTTCGAGGCCGCTCGCGCCTCGCCGATCGCCAGGGCAAGGGGGGCATCCCGCGGGGGGCTGCGGATGAGCTCAGGGATCTCGCCGTCCATGTCGATGAGGTGCTCCGTGAAGTAGTCGTTAGCAGTGGTCATGCCGATGTTACCCTGCACGTCCGTGGTGAAGATGCTCTGATCTGGCTTCTGCGAAATCGCAGTGCTCATCCAGATGTCACTCCAGCAGTCCATCTGGCTGTCAGCCACCGCTCGAGGTAATGCTGTGCAGATGCCGAACCTGTCCGCCTCGCTGTGTGCCGTCATTCCGAAGACTGGTGACGCGCCTGTGATCGTAGCGTCCTGGGCCCACTCTTCGAAACTTGTGGTGCGCCGCTTGGCAGCCTGCCTCTCCAGGTGCTCCGCGCGGTCATCGACCGTGGCCGCGCGTGCCGCGACGAGCGCGGCAAAGTGGCGGCCCGTCTGCGTGGGGGCACGCCTTCTTTCGCGTGGATATCCTGTCGGTGACCAGGTCGCAGCGCTCGCGTCGCGCGTGTCCGTCGGTCTCGCGAATCGTCATGGCGCGCGACCGAAGGGGCCAAGTCATGGAGTGCAAGAGCCAGGTTGCGCATGGAACGTGCCTCCGCGCCCGCGGCGGGCCTGCCTGGTCGCCGAACATAGGCGGGTCGAGCTGCCCTGCCGCAGTAGCGCTCCGCATCCTGTAGCTGGTAGATGTGGCAGAGGTCATGCTCCATGGAGGACATGAACGTCGCGTGCATCGCATCCGGGCGCTGCTGAGCGTCCGCTGCGTCCTCGGGTTGGCCCCTGCTGGAGTCGCCCTGCGCGACCTCCACTCCAGATTTCGTAGTAAAGGGAGGGGGGGTCTCATTTCGGGGGGGGGGTCTCTTCCAGGCTATCTTGGAGGGCCCGGGGGGTCTGGGGGCGATGTTTTGGAAGGTTCTCCCACGGGGGGCGTCTGAAATGGCTTGTCTTGGAGGGTCCAGACCCCCTCCCTTTTATTGCGAAATCTGGAGTATGCGTGGCGTCGGCGCTGGTGTCCCCGTCGGCGGGCCAGCGCCCGCGAAGCGCGGCGGCCGCCGCGGGGAGGCCTTGGGCGCTCGAAGATGCAGCCGAAGGTGCCTGCGAGGCCTAGCGGCAAGCTCCATTCGCGCAGGATGGTGCGGTCTGGGCGCCCACTCGTCCAGGGCGCGGGGGGCCTCGCAGGCCTGCGCGAAATCGGGTGGGGCGAGCCAGTAATCTATGGTGCAGAAGTTGCCAGTGGTGGCTGCCCTGCAGGTGCCCGTCGTGGAAGTGACTGCAACGGCAGGCATCACCTGTGTGAAGCCGAGTCCTCCAGGAGGGTAGGCTCGGCGTTCCAATCGGCCGCGGAGATGTGCGGGGCCGAAAAGTAGCGCATGGCCTCCGCTTGTGCATCATCTTCTGATAGTTCGTAGTGAAGTAGTTATGGCCACCGACGGACTCCATGCAGGCTGGGCCCACACCGATGCCTCCAAGTGGCCCAGCATTTGCGTGCACTGCCACTGCCCAGGAACGCAAGATCTCAGAACCTTCAGTGATGCCCCCCAGCAGGACTAAGCAACGTAGTCTCCAACATGCCTCCAGGCGAAGATCCCGACTCCCGCGCTCGGTAGCTCGGGCGCTAGTCGTCGACATTGGCTGATGAAAGGCTGCCGTCCATGTCGCAGCGCCCGCGTGCGGGCATGGCCCAACCTTTTTCCATCTAATCGGAGCTCTTGGCAGACGACCGCGAGATCACCCCCTGCACCTTCAAGCAAAAACTGCCGGCATGAAGTCCAACGCGACCCATTGGAGGTGATCGCTCCCGTTGCCGAGCGCCGAGCTCCGCGTGCTCTTCTGTGTCTAGTTGCGCTCCCATGCCGCTGCGTCCGCGCTGGCGGGCACATATGGGAAGCTGGCTGGTGCCCATGATGCTCCGCCCGCTGCGGCGGCTGCTGACGCTGGGGCGGTCTGCGCAGACGCCGTGGCGGCCGCTGCTGCAGGTGGGGCGCTGGCGCCAGCAGGCTGCCCGCCAGCGGCGCGACAAGCGGTGCCCTGCGGGGGAACAGCGGCGCCCAGCCTGTTGATGTGGTCCGCCAAGGTGTCCGGGATGCCCCCCCCTCCACCGTGTTGCGGTCATGGCCCGCGCTGATGGAGTCCCTGGCGCCCTGGGGGATCTGCAGTTG